AATTGCTATAAGCATCTAATTAAACTATAAAAATCGATTCGATCATGTTTACTAATTCAAGAATAAATTTTCAACAATATTATTTAAATAATATTAATATTAATACTTTATAGAAAAATTGTTTAATATATTTTATTACTATATAATATCACTACATATTCTAACTCTGACTATTTTAGAAAAACATATACATTTAATTTTTATCAATTAGATCATTATACATAATCAATTATTACTATTTTTTTTTTAATAACAAAATATATTTATGCAAACAGATTAAAGATTTTAGTCATATGATATGTTTTATAGTTTTTTTTAAATTCTGAATCAAATATTTGTTACGAACGATTCCGCAGAAAAAAAATGTCTGGTCGAAAAGTTGGCTATTAAATGCATATTGCGTCTGTGATTGACGTACATTTCAACCAGTTAAAATTTCGAATTTTATGAATATAGTAATTTCTGTTTTGTAAATATGTAATTTACATCACTTTAATTGATATCACTGTTTTCATTTTTTATTGCATTTTATATATAATTTAAATCATTAAAATTCACATTTTTCATATAGAATGTACAAGTTACTATTGGATCATTGTATGTCTTACGGATACAAAAGATAAAGGCCTGAAGTATAAATAAGACGTCTGATGCTTCAATTATATTATACAACAAATTTGTTTATATTATATAAATCGGCGAAATTTATTTATAAAATGTTATTATAAAATGTTTATACGGAAGAAAACTTTTATCGTTACACCTAGTTTGCTGACACTGTGTTTACTGCTGCAGCAAAAAAATTTGTTGCTACTATATAATTTTTTTTAGCAAACAGTATTTATATCTACTATAATTATATTATGTTTATACAAATTAAAATTTTATTATATCTGTTAATAAATGTATCAATACAATAAAAGAATATAATTAATCCGATAATGGTTAATCCAATAGATGGCGTTACTTAACAGCTAACTCGCAGTTAAAAAACATCTTGATTGAATATATTTATTGTATAACAATACAGTCTCTTAACATAAACATTTTAAATATCTAACGTGACATTAAGAAATATGAAATATTTAATCAACTAAATTTCTGACATCTATTAGTATAATCCATTCATTAAATTAAGTTAATTTGTCTTTTTTTAATCAATTATTTTTCACCGGATTATAGTCATGTATATTTCAGAGTAAATTAATTAATTATGTCATTATATAAACATTAAAATTATGACTTTTCGTTTACAAGCTTTTAAATTTTCAATCTTCTTAAAATAAATTAAAACTTGAAACTTTTGTTTTGCTTCTTTGCCGAAAGTTTGCTCGCAAAATCTTAAAAATAATTGTATGTGATGAGAGAAATTTAAAAGTTTCGGAAAAATGTCTTTTGAACCACATATTTGAATTTTTATTTGAGTTTTGTTTTGTTGCTGTTTTGTTGCTGGAACTATTATTAAATGATAAAATATGTAAGAAAAAGAGAATATTGATGAGATATTACACGTAAAAGTTGAGATTATTTTGAATTGTCTCTATTGTTTTACTATATACGACAATCAACGACAGTAACTATAGCTACGCGAGATGAAAGGCGTTTTGGCGCCGTTTCGTCGGCTATCTATTGATTGCAATTTGAGATGATGGTCGAAAGAACAAACGCACATGTATGTCAAAATATTTGAACAAAAGGAAGAAGGACGATGCATAAAAATGGTTAAATTAATTAGTAATAAATTGTTAATAATAATCGCTGATTATTTACATTATTATAATATCTACTAATATCTACTTAATATCTACTAATTATTACATTGATTTAAACGTTTTTAAAAAAGAATTATGTTCATTTATTATCTATCTATCTCTCTGCTCATTTGTTTTTGTGAATTGAGAAACAATTTGCAATTAACGTTTAAATTTCAAAAATTAAAAATAAAATATATTAAATATTTATTAATTAGATACGTATCGTAATACTTTTCTTCTTACTTTTTGTTTAATTATTATTTTGTTTAATTATTTTGTTTAATATTTTTTGTTTAATTGCGTGATGTCGCCAGATGTCAAGAAAAAAAAAGAAGAAATGGAAGACACTTGAGAATATTAAATTCTTAATTCTGAAAGTCAAATGTTTAATTTTAAAGCAAAACTTTTTTAATAAATTTTTTATGTTTACGTTTTGCAAAAAAATCATTCTCTGATTATGATATCCTCGCAAGACTTGCACCTGAAATTTTATTAATGACGATAAACAGTGACGTACATATAGTTCAAACAGATTCTCTTTAATATTATTTATGGAAGCGGGATCTAGGAAGCTGCTCTGGCACCCTTTAAACGATTTGACCTTATTTTTTCAGGGCAATCAATAGACTAGGGTTCTACTAATAAATACTTAACCAGATCGATAAGTAAGCAAAATCAACAAAATCGCATGAATAAGTACGACAAAATATGTATACTTCTGTATATATAGATTTGTATATCTGTCAGAGATATGTGCGCGTGCATAATACGGCGAATTTTGTTTATATACATACTTTATTTTTTAAATTTTCGCGAAAAGATAATTTATTTCTCGTAGATAAGAGCTCACGATAACCATGTATTAAGAAATAAATAATACAATGATATTTGCATATCATAATTCAATTTTTTTGGAAATCAGTCAGGTCTATCCGCATTCTGTCTATAGATCTACTCTTCAATGTTGTATATAGATATGCAGGTATTGATGCACGTGCGCGCGTGAATGCATCAATTGATTTTGAGGATATTTATATACAACGATAAAAGGTGGCTGTAACAACAAATTTGTTTCAATTCTTTTGACGCAAAATAAGTAAAACAATAAATGTTTGAATAACACTTATCACTTGAATTTTTATTATAAAATAAACTTATATTAATAAGAGACATCATTAACATGGCTATATATTCGAAAATTGTATTTTGTAAGTAGGCGAAAATTGTATTTTGTGGAGTAGCATTTAATTGATTAATCAAGACAAAAAAATTTCTTGGCTCCGATTGGCTCATTTATAGGCTCGTTCTACAATCAATCGATGGCGCTGTCGGATGTTGTCAATTATTTATTATAAGGCATATGTCAGATGTGAATACGACAAGATGCTACAGGTTGGATTCTGTAAAGAGCACATGCGCATATTTTGTTATAACGTACAAATGTTGAAAAGTCAAGTTTACGAGATAATTTACATTTTATTCTCGCACATTTTAAAATAAAATGTAAAATACTCGTAAACT